GATGATGATAATAATAATAATTGTTATATTATTATTATTATTATTATTATTATTATTATTATAACAGTTTCCCATCTGACCTTCTTATTATCTTATTTTTTCTTATAATCTTCTTACTATTATTGTTGTCTTTAAGTTTGTGAGTATACGTATTGGAGCAGCAGCAGTCAAAAAGGCATATCAGAGACTCTAATTCCTGAGTTATGAGGAGAAGCTGCTGCCATGTTTTTCCAGCAGCTTCATCAAAAGTGTGTGGTACGCCAGCAACTCAGACGCGAACAGGAAAGCCCTTTGGAGGATCATAAACTCTGCCCAGAAAACAAACAAACTAAAAAAACGTGCCTCTTTGGAAGAGCCTTTCAGCTCTCGCTGCCTCAGCAGAGCAGCCAGGATCATCTAGGATACTTCCCACCCACTAAGATGCTGTCATCAGGTCCACCTCATCATTAACAAAGAGATTTGAAAACAGCTTCAATGTTCCACATGTACAAATACACCCAAGTGCAGTTACTCAGCTGCTCTATTGTAATGTAGTGTATTATATTGTGTTTCTGTTACATTTTTTTAAATCAGTAATCTGATCTAATCTCAAGAATGAAAGTGTTTCTTTATTCATTTCATTCATTCACTTCTAAAGCTAGTATCTAAAGCTTCATCAGCAGTTCTGAAGTTTCACTGTTTTGAAAATAAAATGCAATATTATATATGTTAAATTTCTCATTCTTATAAGCTTACCTGTCTCTGACAATAAGACAGAAATAAAAGTGAATACTTATGACTAGAATTTGTCCTAAATTTGTTTACACAAACAATGTGCTTAAGGATATTTTAGGTCTACTATATGCAGGACACGACTTGTCCTTTATTTCTCTCTATTTTATTTTAAACCATCTGAATGTGCACAGGTCCTGTAGACATTTAAAAATGCTTTGTATACTTATCTTTCTCGACCAAAAAAGTATTTAGTATCAACTGGGGGGAAAAAATATGCCAATAAACAGTAAAAAATGTGTACGTGCACATGTAGAATATTATGTGGTTCTCATGGTTGATTTCTTATGTGAACCATATTTAATGGTTGTTTGAGGGTTACATGCAAAGTTGTAAAGAATTTAAGGTTAGTAAAACAGGAAGGAAATAGTTTCAAAACAGGTTAAACCAAAAGATACTAAAGAGAATTCATTTCTGGTACTGCATAAACTGTGAAAGGGAAAAATGCATTTAATTTATTTTAAATATGAATATGAATTAATAATGAGTAATAACCACTGAGTTTCAACACAGTTACTATAGAAGTACTGACAGGAGAAGCAGTGATATGAAACCGGTTATGAGGACTTGCTGTATGGTGGAAGAGTTTTGACTTTTTTTGGATGGAAAGGGAAAAAATGACTGGAGTAAAGTCGGAGTTGCCACGGTAACGCACAACATTAAATAAATCGCTTCTGTGGAGCGTGCTTTTTATCAAAAGTTCATGCCTTTACCGTGGTGTCAGTTTCCTACGGGTTTTTTTTCATTTTGAGTTTTTCTTCTTTGCACACCCACAGTACATAAAAGGCTTTTCTAACCACATCTATCCTGTATAATTCCAGGCAAATGTTGCCTCTATTGCAAGAAAAAAAGAAAAACCACTTGTTCTGCACATTCTGGTGCAGAGGCGTGATTTGCTTGGTGCAACCAAAGGTGTAGAAACTTATATGGGCTGGTTAGATGTGGAACAGCCAATGAAAAGGAGAAAAAAAATGGCTCTCATGGCTTTCATTGATATTATTATCTTAAATGTGCTCTGTTTTTGTTCAAAGGTACCACATAACCTATAATGTATGAGTGGATGTCCATTAATGCAATTGCTATGTGTTTTCAAAATGGCATATTTGAGCATAGTGATGAACGATTCTGATGTAACTTCAGGTTATCTGCTCTGTATAATGTACTGGGAACTTGCACCTTGTGGGGTGTTGTTCTATTTGATGTTTATCTAAGTCTCAGGTTCTCAGAAGCATAGCTTTTAAGTGGTACGAGGTAAGGATTTCACATCTAACTCTAATCTGACTTAGTGGTTGCCAAACCTTTTCTGGCATGTACAATTACGAAAGCTCACACCGCACATTGATTATCTTTGAATGTCCTTACTCTAACTATCCTGAAAGTCTAAAACAACTTTTTGTTCCCTCTGTTTCAAGTTACTCACTATGAAGCTCTGATCAGTTCCTCTTTAACGTCCCTTTGTATCTAAAGAAGTTGAAAAAGAATCTATTATGTTTCAGGCTTCTGCTGATTGGAAGGAGTCACATATAAGCATCAGTTCCTCGTCATTTTTTCACTTCTTTAAACATGTTTGATTTGGTTGAAAGTTTATAACTCTTCACTAATTTTGAAGCCTGTGATTTTTATTTTTGATAACTGAAGCAGTTGTTACTGGAATCATGTATAGGGAGAGGTGTTGCTGTGATGTTTGCATAGTTTTGCAGGTTCTGAGAGGCATGCTCTCCATTTGACATAAGGCTACATGTGAACTGGTTGTGTTAATGTACGGCAAACCCCTTCCCCATCTCAGTGGTTTACAAACTTTTTTTTGCCATATACAACAGCAGAGCTTATAGACTAAGAAGCTATGATCAGTTCCTGTGATCAGTTACACTATGTCAGCTAAACAAAGCTTTCAGCAGTGATTAAAGTGCACAAATGAAAACAGAAGACTTTCAAACAAACGTTTTCATAGTGTAGATTAATAGTGTTGTTAATCGATTTTTTAATAGTTTTGTCACTGATGTGCAGAGAGGATAAAACAACACATGTACTGATTTTGATATGTTGGTGTCACAGTCACACCAACATGATGAATAAGTGTTTTCAGTTTACAACATTTACAGGCAATCTAGAGCTTTTTACTCATATGTATCTAGATTTTACTCACAGCATTCAAAGTTGGGAATTCTTGATTACTTAAAGACTAATGATAACCTTGTTTTATGTTTCGCTAGCTCATTAGTGATGAGCTCTGTCTCTGGCTGCAGTGTTAGCTTTATGTTGTCATTTCTGAAAAATGCAACAAAAGCTCTCTGTCTCTCTGTGTCTTCAGAAACAGCATATATCTTACACATGGTCTCTGTCTCTGGCTGTAGCGTTAGCTTCACGGCACAGTCCAGTGTAGATATTTTGGCCTGCAGTGTTGTTTATCTATCATGTCATTATTTACTCAGTTTTGGAAATTTTTGAAAAGTTTTGGAGGCTGCAGAACTGTTTACCTCGACGGCAACAAAGGTACACAGGGTAGACCATGGAATGACTAATGCATTTGCTTTATGGTAACTGGAAAGTTATCATATGTCTTTCTAGAAGTCAGTAACCCACAAATGTGGCTGTGTGAGCTGTTTCGTGTGGGAATCGTTTCCTCGTTTACTGAAAAATGTGATGCAGATGAAATTTTTTATTGACCCATGTCAAGAGTTACAAGAGGCTAGTGCTGCTGACAGCATTTACGATCAGTAGTGTCCCTTGAGTTGTAATGTTATCTGTCTGCATGCTTTTTTTTTTGTTCAGTGGATGTACAGCAGTTTGTTAGAAGACAACTCCCTTTACAGGTGCTGATAATGCCAAGGACACAATGTTTTGTGTCCTTGGCCCATTGCTCCATTAGGTTTCATAGCGAGGCACGTGATGTGTGGTATGATCAGTTTGTAACTTCCTCCCTCTTCCTTGGAATGGAATAAAGGAGTGTGCTCATTACTTAGACCTGAGATGTTTTGATGTGTGTGTGTTTGCTCTCCTGCATGCATGCAGTAATAAAATAGCTTGACCACAGCTGAACATACTGCAGACCTTTCTTTTTTTTACAGAAAATTCCACAACACATCCCTGTTGTACCAGTCAGTTGTTACAGAAATAAGGTTTATAGCATGAATGTTTAAAGCTAGAGAAAAATTGAGAATGTAGCGGTTGGCATACTCTCACTCGCTCTCACTAGATGACCAATTATTGTTGCAAGAGAGACATCCACCCCCTCACCAGAGGATTATATATTGAGAGAGAAAGACATACATACCCCTGTCTCCTCAGTTGTTGTCAACAAGGCAGAAGGAAGAGTGCTGGTAGGGGATTGCTGCTTTTTGTTGTTCTCTTTTCTATATCTGAAATTAATCCCTTATTTTATTTGTGCAGATAAACACATAAGTTCTCTTTTTTTTTTGTAAGGTCCAAGTTATTGTGAAATTCCTGTGGGAATTTGTGATGGGTTTATGCTGGCTGTGTGAGCTTGGGTTGTTAATTTTTGGTTTGGAAATTGTGACTGACTTCAGATTCTCTGTATTTTGGTTTAATGTTCTTTATTTATGTCATGATTTTACTATGGGGCTGTCTGCAAAGAGGGAACGACAGAGTTAGTACTGGCAGATGGTGGGAATTGGGAAACAGAGTTCAATGAAACTGAGTTCATATTTTTGATTTGGTGGTTTGCAGTATTGAGGTAACAGGGGAGAGTGTCAGAGGGCATCCTGGGTTCTACATGTGACTTAAACTTTGTTTCAGGGGATCTAGCTTAACTAGCATTGGAGTGGAGCTGAAATTCTAGTCTAAGACTGTCTAGCCTCTGACTGTACCCCTCTGACTGTACCCCTCTGACTGTACCCCTCTGACTGTACCCCTCTGACTGTACCCCTCTGACTGTACCCCTCTGACTGTACCCTTTGCTCTTCCTTTTGCCTTCAGAACTGTTTAATTATTTGGGACATAGATTCAACAATTTTCTGGAAATGTCCCTCAGAGAGGGAACTCTTTTGTTGTCAGGTATTTTCAATAACAGTAAAACGTTGGTTCCAAAGTTATGAGTGATAAATGTTGCTGTCTTATTTGTGTGGAGTGTCCAATTTAAACTTGGTCAGGTGGTGTTTCTCTTTGTCTTAATCTTATTCTATTTGTCACACAGGAAACATTGCATTGAAGAAGTGAATATGATTGTCGTCCAACTCATCATACTTTTTTTGATTTTTAACCAACATGTTGCTGGTTTGACATGCAAAACAGGTAAAGTGTGCCTTTTATCATTTTACTCACTCTCTATAATGCTTTAAAATCAGTTTTTCACTTTTTAAATTTTATTTTGAAAGTATAGTAATTACTGTAATTAAACTGTGTCCTTTCTTTGAACACTGTGAAATCCTTGAAGGCGAAAAAGTATCCCGTAATGGAAATGGATGTGAACCCTGCAAACCAGGCTCTTATCAGGATCATGAAAATACTTCAAAATCTTGTAAAGCATGTAGAACGTGTGACACTAGTAAGTGCTGAAGCTTTTGTAACTTATTAGAAAAACAGCTGCTATGTGAGCAGCTGATGATAAACCTGCTCTGTTAATGGAGACAAAACATGTAGTTCACACTCAAATTACGACATCAGGATTAAGAACATTCTTTGTTTATTTATTTATTGCAGGTCATGGTAGTGAGATTAAACAGCATTGTACCAGATTCACAAACACAAGATGTGCGTGCCGTGAAGACTTTGTTCTATGGGACAGTGATTCTTCCAACTGCAAATGTGCTGAGGGATTTAAACGAATAGGAGGTACAAGACTGGATCATAATATTGGATCATTTACCATACACACTAAAGAAAATGTCTTTTTAAATCATCAATTCTTTTTTTCCTGCTAGGAGAATGTAAACGATGTGAGGAAGGATTTTTCATTATATCTCAAAACTCAGACTGTAAAAAATGGAAAGAGTACGTATTCTAGTGTTTTTAGTACTTTTATGATATATGATTAAAACTAATTTTCAACAGGGTCTGGACGTGACGCTTGTTGTTAACAGCTTTGTCATTTATCTTTCATTCTAGATGTAAATCAGGAGTGAAAATCAGTGGAACTGCATCGTCAGATGTTATCTGTAATGAGCCAAACAGTGATATTTACAGCACTACACTTCCCACATCAAACACAATTACTACTCTCCGAGGTTTAATAACTCAACGTCCACAGTGGGAGGCCCAAACTCAGGAAATGGATACTAGATCTGTTAGCTCTCCTCCACAAGTAGCCACTTCTACAACAAAATCCAAATTATTTTGGCACAGCCTTCATTTTCCATTGTTTCTGAGATGAAGGCACAGATTTTTTTTTTTTTAAAAAGCTATGTAAACTGTAGCTGACTTTTTTTGTCTTACCAGGTATGGCTCATTATCTTGGAATTTCAAATTTGTAATCTTTAAAAGGCTTTTGTCACTCTGACAATCAGGGAGGAAGGAAATGGAATACTTATAACTGGAATTTGTCCCAAATTTGTTTACATGAGCAATCCACGTAAGGATAACTTAGATGTCTACAGCACTCATATTCATTACATGTATACAATTGCCACTACTGCTACTGTGGTTTAGTAAGTAAAAGTATTTTACAATTATCTTTTTTTAAAAGATTGTTTGAAACATATGAATCTGTAAAAGTTAAAACATTTAAAACATCTTGTGTATTATCTGTATCACCAAAACATTATTTGCTATTAATGCGCCTGCAGCAACACAACTCTGAAGTTGGGCAAAAGATGTGCTCTAGGTTGCGGCTGTGTTATATATGGGAAGTGCTGATTGGCCCAAGTGCAGCTCTTTCATCAGTGGCAATTATATGTAATTAACTTTTAATGTTGTGCATTTTCTTTGATTTATAAATTGTCAGTTTGCTTAGTCTTCTTCTTGTTTTTGCCTGTCCTGTACGGCATTGTAGCAATCAGAATTACTGTCTGAAGGTCAAGAAAAATGCCCAAGAGATTTATTTTTCCAAGTGGACCATTACAGCTTTTGCAATTCTGGTTCAATTGATTGTCATAGTTTATTTGATCTTTATTATTATTATTTTGATTTAAGTTATTACAATCAGAATGGACAGGACAGAGAAAGAAGAAGGAAAGAGAAGTTCGGAAGAGAGTTAACAGACTGAGAGGGAAAGAAAAATAGAGGAGAAGAAGGAAGCAGATTGAAAAAAAAAACAAGCAAAAATAAAACAGCACAGTAAGGAAACCACAGCAATAACCAATATGGGCATGAGTAACAGCAATTAATAAAAATGTAATGTTAACTGTACAATACATGATATGTTTAGAGGCAGCAGCCAAGCGAGATAGTGTGTGTCTGTAAGTTGTTTGTACACCTGTATGAACCTGTATGAACACTTATGTGTAAAACCTGTGTGTGTGAGCACATTCATAAGATTTCTCCATGTAAGTGTCTAATACCCACATGACTTCTGGCATGGTAAGTGGTATGTTATCCAGACATGGGCCAGGCCGGATATAGATGGCACTGTTTATGTGATGGCATGCCATATCTGGCCAGATTGTGGTTTGGTTTATGTGGCCCAGGTTCATAGAAAACAGGTCTGGCCCGGATCTGGCATCAAACTTGCACTTCTGACTGACCGGTGTCATGGCAGGGTGTATGTCAACCCGACGTGGGCAAGGCTTGGCAATGATGGCACATGTTGTTATTACATGGCTTGATTAAGGTACACATTAGGCTGACATTTGGGGCAAGAGCTGAAACTATTCTGGTCCAGCACAGGGTCAGCAGTGTGTTTGCAACTGGCCCGTGGCTGCACACAGCTTACACATGGCCCACATACCGCAAAGAATGACGGCCCTTTGGTGGACCAGATCAGGTTTGCCAGAGGTACTCCACGCATGGGCCAGCACAGGACCACCAGTGTGCCTGCAACTGGCCTTGTGCTGGGCCATGTGTGTGCCACCTCTGGCAAACCTGATCTGGGCCACCAAAGGGCCGTCATTCTTTGCAGTACGTGGGCCATGTGTAAGCACATTTGTGGGCCAGATCCAGGCCATACAAATTTTGCTATGTGGGTAGTGGGTGCTAGGAGCCATAGCCCTGCCCCCCAGGACATGAAGGAGGGATGGAGGAGCTCCGGGCCACGAGCAAGGATTACCACCAGAGGGGCAGTCACGTCAGCCACCTAGAAAAGAGCTGAGGAGTGCCTCGGATGGGGGTCACCCAGCAGTCAAGGTGCAGAAGTCACAGGGCCTGCAGCACTGAGCCTGCAGGCTCCACTGGCAGCCAGCTGCACCAGATCAGACTGAGCCCTGGGCCCAGAGACCCAGGATCCAAGGGCCCTTCACACCCTAGAAGGGGCCCAACAGAGCCAGGAGGGCCAGTGTGCACCAAGCAGCCACAGGAGTGAGCCAGTATATACAAACAGGCACATACAAATACAAACATGCACACACATTCCCCCCCTCATGCGCACATGCACAAATACTCAGTACTCACCTGACATGGAGACACACAGAAGTGAACCCAGTACACACACTCACACTCCCCATACATACTCTATACTCCCAGGTCCAGGCACCACAATAGAGAACGGGGGTGTGTGAAGACCCCATACCTCACTCTACCTGCTCATATGTGGTGTTGATGCGTGCTGTTCTAAAATGCATTTAAAACAGGGGAGGGGTATGGGGCCGTTTGAAGTGAAGTGTTGCTTTGTTTACTTGGTGTTGGTTAATTTGCTAGTATTTGTGTTCCTGTCATGTGTCCACCTGGTCTTAAGATGGAGATATTTTAAGTTGCTGTTTTTATTTGTGTTTAGTTCTAGTCATTTGACCTCTTTTATGGGCACTGTATTGCTAGTTTATTTAGTATAACTTTGCATTTTTAGGGGTAAATAAAGACCACTTTTTTCTAAATACTAAGTGTGTCCTCGTGCTTAACCAGCTCAGTTCCTCACACACTATGTCAACTATACAAAGCTTTGAGCAATTATAAAAGTGCACAAATGAAAGCAGAGTTTTAAGAGTTTCAACAAACAGCAATAGCGTTAATTTTGTCGCCGATGTGCAGAGAGGACAAAACAACTGTAAACTGATTTTGTTATTTTGGTGTTCATAGTCACACCAAACATGATGACTATTTTCAGTTTACAACATTTACAGGCAATCTAGAGGTTTTTACTCATGTATCTAGATTTTACTCAGTATTCAGAGTTGAGAATTCTTGATTACTCAAAGATGTACGATAACTGTTTCGTTTTTTTGAAACTGAGGCTGAAAATTCTGCACAAAGGTAGCTTATACATGATAATCTTCATATCTGGTTGCAGTGTTAGCTTTGTCTCTTCTGCAAAATTCAACATATACTCTCTGCCGTGTCTTCACAAACAGCAAATTCCACATATGTTTCATCTTAAGAGAGAATTCAGTAGGAAGTGTGTTTAAGGGACACTTCACAGCACAATCAGTGCACATATTTTTCCACTGCTTTGTAGGCTATTTATCTATCTAAGGTTATTTCATCATTATTTACTCAGTTTTGGAGATTGACGCTGCAGAACTGTTTACCTTGAGAGCAACAAAGGTACAAAGTGTAGATAATGGAACAACTAACTGGCATTTGCCTTATGGTATTCAACTGGAAACTTATCGCTTTCTAGAAGTCAATAAGCTACAAACGTGGCTGTGTGAGCTGTTTCAGGTAGGAATCATTTAGTCTTTCATGATGCAAATGCATCATGATCATGCAAATTGTTCATTGACCCATGTCAAGAGTTACAAGAGGCAAGTGCCACTGACAGGATTTACAATCATTGGTGTACCCTGAGTTGTACTGGTACCTGTCTGCATGCTTTCTTTGTTCAATGGATGTAGAGCATTTTGGTAAAAAAAAAAAAAAAAAAAAGAAAGTCATAGCAATATATAACAGCTCACAGGGAAAAAAAAAATTTGATTCCTGAAAAGAGACATTGCTTTTTAATTTTAATTTGGGTGTTGTCTTCACACACTGAGGTCAAATTTGAAGTTGCACTGGGCTCAGTGCTTGAACCAATTCTTTTTACATTTTACGTGCTTCTCTCGGACAGTATCATTCAACATACATTTTGATTGCTATGCACATGATACCCAGCTCCATCTATCCATGAAGCCAGAAAACACATAACAATTAGTCAAACTGCATGAATGTCTTGAAGACATAAAGACCTGCATGACTTCTAATTTCCTTCTTCTAAATTCAGATGAATCTGACGTTATTGCACTTGGCCCAAAAATCTCAATTAGGATTTGGTGCTGTATAAGTAAAATTGAAATTTGACTTTTTCAGTTTTGTTTTTTTGGCACTTTGAGTTTCTTAACACCTCTCTCTCTCTCTCTTTCTGTATTTCTGTCCACCTCACTAGCTTACACTAATATCCTGAGTGAGACCCACACATGTCTTTCCCTTCACTTGTAACCAAGAAAGGAAAGTGAAGGGGAATGCTGGAAGAAGATCTCTGCTTTTTCCCTTTTCTGTTTTTTCTCCATATCGAAAGGATTGTCTAATTTTATGGGTGTATCGGGGTAGGCAATATTTTTGATGATGAGTGCCATCTAAAATTTCCTCAGAAGTCAATGTCCCATATGATTGCATTAGCATTAAATTTAATAACGCTCTATATTAACAGTTAAACACTATTTAGAACAACTTTATAGAATTATATTTGTTTGCAGATGTTTGCAGCTATCAGCGAATAGTTATCAGATATATATATTTTTTAAAAATACACTTTTTATCCATAACAAGAACTCCATAACAGCAAATGAACTGTACAACAGAAAATGCAAATGCTATTTATGGTCTCCTCACAACAATGATAAGAAAAACAAACTCAGCCAATATGGCATGTCTGTTAATACAGAGACACACATGTTAATCTGATCTCTGGCCTCCCACTCAGAGACACAGGTCTCCGAGTGTCCAGAGTTCAGACGGATACCTGAGGACACTCATGTGAGAGAAAATCTGCTCACACAGATATGTAGAGCCAAATACTGTCAATAAGGCCTCTGCAATGTTCTGAAGACAGTTAAACTTGTCAGGTAGTGATGGCCCGGCCATTTATTTTTTTAATGCACCTTCTCAGATTAATTCACTGCGTATCGTGCCCAGGGCTGGACTGGGACAAAATATTGGCCCAGGCATTTGGCTAAAGACCGGCCCACCAGGTATTATAGGAAAAGCTATAAAGCCTTTAAATGAAAGAAAATGCTGTGACAGTAACTTGTTGGTATATATATGTATATATATGATTTCTATACATTTTACGTCAGATAAAATGTATAGAAAGATTGGTTGTAAGATACAATCTTACAACCAAAGATAAAAACTTTGGTTGTAAGATTCAGATAATTATTTAATAAAAGTGAGACATTTTAAATGAGAATAAGAAAGAAAAGTATGTCTTCGTGCCCCCCTTTCCCTGTTAATGCCCTACCGGGCCCCCCTGGCAAAACTTTGCTAGACCCGCCCCTGCACAGTTACCAGCTGTCAGCTACTGAAAAGGATCTTGGTCTTATTTGTCTCTCAGAAACAGTTCATAACTTCCCTTCAACTCATTCATGTCACCTAAAAGGTAAACCTGTTTCTCCATCACCTGTTCAGCTCTGATGATTCTACTGGTTTCATCTGCATGTTTCCCTCTCAGCAGATAACCAAACCGATATCATGACCAGCAGCTTTTACAGCTGTGGCTCCAGCAAACATCAGCTGATACTAGAAATTAATGTTAAATAAATTCTAGCAACAGCTGATGAAGCTTAAACGTGCTGCTGTTGTTTAACGCGACATCCGGCGGTTTCCTCTTTCTGGCGCAAAGTGGGCGATAAACAAACAAGAGAGAAAAGCCGATCAGCTGATCATTGATCAGTTTCATGGTTGAAGTAGCAACAGGAGAGGGAGGGGGAGAGAATGAGAGAAGAAGAGGCAGCTGCAGCGTAAAGACGCAGAAGAACTCCACCTTTGCGTCTTTTCCCATTCTAGCTGAACTCCGGGACAAACTGTGTTCCCTTTCTCCTCAAATGAAACGCGTAACATTTTCTCTGAATACGAGACGATTCCGTTTTTCACAGGATGGTTGGCAACTCTATTAACTAGCCTTATGAATAAAATTAAGTTCACTATCAGTAACATCATAGCACCCACCCAGCTGTATAGAAACTCTGTCATGCTAGCTAGCACGCAGTACGAGTTATTGTAACTGACTGTAAAACGTCAGCACAACGAAAATAAACTAAACTTGGTTAATATATGACCCAGATAAACTGCAGGTCATAACTTCTTACCTGAAGTTCAGTTCACCTGACACTCGGACCGGCGGCCACCCCGGGTCTCTCCTCCTCCTGTATATCCTGAGTTATTTTTACACATCGACCAGCATCTAGCCAATCCACCACTTTTCATTGTTTATACCGTTACAAAAAATAAAAAATAAAAATCATCGGCCCATAAAAACGAAATATCAGATCGGGCATACCGGACAAATAAATGCCCGGTATGCCTGATGGCCAGTCCAGCTATCGTCGTGCCAGCAGCACGCGTGCCCAGGGTTGCCGACCCCTGGTGTAGATAAACACACAATTTCTTATTTTTCCATTATCTCTTTAATGTCTGTGAGCAAGATGGGCAGACTGTGATCATTGGATCACAAGGGAAAGACATGGTCAGCAACAATGTTCTGGGGCTGTGGTGTTTAAATCATGCTCAGCTAGACAGGATGGATCCATGCTTTCATGCTGTTCAAAGTTTGACTCTACCATTAGAATATTGCAGCAGAAACTGAGACTCATCCAGCAAGGGAGTTTTTCTAATGTGTTTCCAATCTTTCTTTTTTTTTCGAATCCTCAGTTTCCTGTTCTTAGCTGACAGTGTGACACTGTGCGATCTTGGGTTTAGACCATCTGCTTCGTTGTTCAGTGAGTTCTACATTCAGAGATGCTCTTTTGCATACCTTTGATGTTGCTTATGTTTATGTTGTTCCTATTGTTTTCCCTTCAGCTTGAAGCAGACCTTCAATAAGGCATTTTCATACAGATAACTGCTATTCAGTAGATATTTTCTTATCAGACTTTTCTCTGTAAACTCTTGAGATGGTTAGGTGGGAAAATCCCATTAGATCAGCAGTTTCTGACATACTCAGATCAGCCTGTCTGGCACTTAAGTCAATTAAGTCGCCTTTCTTTGCCATCCCAATGCTCAGTTTGAACATTTTAAATACAGCAGGTTGTCTTGACTATGGCTTGTGAGGTAGCTGCTTTAAGAAGTAGTTGAATAGGTGTACTTTTCAAAATGGCCAGTGAGTGAAACTAGCTTTGTCATCATATGTTACCAGTTGGGCTGTGTGTTAAAGAGAGACAAACAATGGGCAAAGTGAACAGTAAAGACAGCACAGTTTGTTATGTTTTATATCTTTAGTTTCCTGAACTCTTGAATGATTGGAATATAAACATATTAATTTTGGGTCGCCTTACCTACGAAAAGTTCATAAACGAACAGAGAGAGAGATAAAACAGGAGCGGGGGTTGTTTTTTTCAACATCCGTTTTTCAAGAAGCGAGTGTGTGGTTGTATCTTGTATCTTGCACTAATCAAGAATATGTGGATTTTCCATTTGCCATTTGAGTCCATATGCCATAATACAATGTCAATTTTTTCTGCCTAGACAAAACAAAGATACATAGTTAACTGTTTCCGATAGCTTAACCACAGTACCAATACCTTTTTTCCTGAACAAAGAAAAAAAGCCCAGAAAAAGGTTAACAAACATGCTAAAAATACCCTCAAAGCTGTGTTTCAGTTTAAAAGATGTTTTTTTCCATCATACTTTATATGGATCTAAAATATTTTTACCGGTTTACGAGTTAGTAAAACATCTTATTACTTATGTACTGAATTGTACAGAATTTTATTATTATCAATATTCAAGTTGTAGACATATAGGGTGAATTTTAAGTAAGATGGCTCTTTAAATTGTTGACTTACATAATTAATTAATCCAGTGTTAAAAAATTAGACACTATATTTAGAATCTTAGAATACCTGTTAGAAACTCTGTTATGACTGACATGTCATAGATGTAAAATATCTGTTTCAATTTAAGTTTTTAAAAAAATAAATATTAATAAAACATTACAGTTTGTAGTAAGATAGACAGGATAGTCACCGAACTTATAAATTGTAACTGTTTTATCAGTAAAGTAGGTGAGCAGTCTGGGACAGCCCCATATAAAGAGCTTATGCAGGTGGCGTCTCTCTTTTGTCACATTCTTATGCTGTGTGTCACACAGGAAATAGTGGCATTTCTCAGCACTGAAGAACTGAATATGGCTATGCTCAAAGTCCTCATACTTATTTTGATTTTTAACCAACATGTTACTGGTTTGACATGCAAAACAGGTAAAGTGTGCCTTTTATCATTTCACTGAGTCTGTATAATGCTGTAAAATTCAGTTTTTCACTTTCTGAATTTTATTTTGAAAGTATAGTAATTACTGTAATTAAACTGTGTCCTTTCTTTGAACACTGTGAAATCCTTAAAGGCGAAAAAGTATCCCGTAATGGAAATGGATGTGAACCCTGCAAACCAGGCTCTTATCAGGATCATGAAAATACTTCAAAATCTTGTAAAGCATGTAGAACGTGTGACACTAGTAAGTGCTGAAGCTTTTGTAACTTATTAGAAAAACAGCTGCTATGTGAGCAGCTGATGATAAACCTGCTCTGTTAATGGAGACAAAACATGTAGTTCACACTCAAATTACGACATCAGGATTAAGAACATTCTTTGTTTATTTATTTATTGCAGGTCATGGTAGTGAGATTAAACAGCATTGTACCAGATTCACAAACACAAGATGTGCGTGCCGTGAAGACTTTGTTCTATGGGACAGTGATTCTTCCAACTGCAAATGTGCTGAGGGATTTAAACGAATAGGAGGTACAAGACTGGATCATAATATTGGATCATTTACCATACACACTAAAGAAAATGTCTTTTTAAATCATCAATTCTTTTTTTCCTGCTAGGAGAATGTAAACGATGTGAAGAAGGATTTTTCATTACATCTCAAAACTCAGACTGTAAAAAATGGAAAGAGTACGTATTCTAGTGTTTTTAGTACTTTTATGATATATGATTAAAACAAATTTTCAACAGGGTCTGGACGTGACGCTTGTTGTTAACAGCTTTGTCATTTATCTTTCATTCTAGATGTAAATCAGGGGTGAAAATCAGTGGAACTGCATCGTCAGATGCCATCTGTAATGAGCCAAACAGTGATATTTACAGCACTACACTTCCCACATCAAACACAATTACTACTCTCCGAGGTTTAATAACTCAACGTCCACATGAGGGGGCCAAAACTCAGGGGATGGATACTACTACTACTCCACGAGTGGCCACTTCCACAAAGAAAGTGCTTCCAACTCCTGTATATCCAGGCAACCCCATTGGTAAGCCATCTTCCGATCATGCAACCTCAGATCAAAAGTAAAGCTAAGTTAACTTAGCAGGTTTATTTTGTCTTACCAGGTATGGCCCTCCTTATTTTCGGAATTGTCGGACTAGTTGTACTAACTGTTGTGACCTGCAAGCTGCACATCACTGACTGCTGGCACAAGCAAAAAACAGTACAACGTATGTGGCAAGTGATTCACACTTCAGACAATAAGAAAGGTCTTGGTGGTTTCATGTCGAGAAGTTGAATGAGAAAAGTGACGCACCAAAATTTGAAGCAACAGGCAACAACAGTTCACCTTCTTGCATCAAGATATATGCCCACACCCCCCCAGAAAATCTTTAATCATGTCAGAGATTTATTTCTTTATCATATTTTACCACTATTAGAAAAAATGGGCAATATTTCTTCACAAAATGCTTCACACACTCTGAGATTTGTGCTGTTTCAAATGGGAAATAGTTATTGTCAACAATATTATTGAATTAATTAACTAATTGGTAGTTAATTAAGCTTTTTGAAATAAAATATATATTTTTTGTTTACAGCAATGGACTCCTTGTGCCGCACGCCAGTTGAGGAAAGCTGTAATGAAAGCCAGACCCCGCTCAAGTCAGACTACATGGAACCTTGAAGTTAAACTTGTTATTTTTTTTCATTTAGGCATGAAATACACAGCTGAACCTTTGACTCAGGTAATCGTTATATCAGTATTTTTCCTTACAGTGTTGCTTTTGTATTAGAAATACATCATCAAACTATTTACTATATCTGTATTGTTACAGGTGTATTTTCAAGTCAATATTTGACTTTTGTTTGTTCTGTTTTAGTAGAATCGTGAATTATCACAAACATATTGCAAGCCTCTTACCTCACTTTTTAAACTGTGAAACAGCAAGTAGTAAACAATAGTTTTCACTACTTGAACTGTTGTAAATTGACCATAATATTATTTTTATTAATATTATTATGTTGCTCAAAGAAATCTGTATAATGTTAGTATTGATCAACATTTTCTATATGCAGATTTTTGCACAGTGACCTGAGCAATCATGCCACTAAATGCCTCTGTGAAATGTTTGTATATTCAATGTATGTGTATATATATATATATATATATATATATGACATGACATGACATGACATAACTTAATGCGACTAACTGGGGCTTGTGACAAGCCTGAGAAATACCCAGTAAGACCAGTACAATCAATACCACTGATCCAGGATATATTATAAACTACTTTAATTTTTGCACGAAGTCTTTCTGCCCATTGTTTCTCAGTTTTTGATTACTCAGCTCTGTTCAAATTAGCAGGTCTGTGAAAACAAACATGCTTTCAGTGATGTGTGGGTTTGGCGGAGTTCCCCCCAGGCACCTAAATGTGGCTCTTTTTCCCCACTGAGACATACATCCTCTCATGTTTTCATTTTGGCCTTTGGAAAGACTGATGTTGTAAATGTGAGGACTTTCATGTTGTTTATACCTCATTGGAGATGTTTCTCGGATCACATAGTCAGAGGAGTTATGAAAGCGTCCTCATACTTCTCCTCACTTATGTTTTGCACCAGAAACCAGACACACACATTCATAAATTTCAGTTAATGCTTTGTCTGCCTGGTTGACTCTTTGTGAAGAACCGAATATAGAAAAAGCTACCGCACCGTAAATCTTCCCAAGGAAAGTGATTTAAATAAAGACAGAAGTATATCAAGTTTTCAGATCCATTATTTAAGTATAAACATGTATATAACAGTCCAACCTTAACTTAATATTAAAAATTTAGCATTTATTTAAGTATAACTCACAGGAAGTAAACATTCTTACTTAGTAAAGATGACTTTTTTATTAGTTTGTGTACTATTAGGTATTCAATTAATCTTAATATATCTGTGAGTAGGCAACATTTTACTGTTGTAGCTGCTTTTTGTAAAACGCAAATATGACTTACAGAGAGTACACACATACTGGAAACCCTGCAGGTAGTTTGCTTTCAGTAAATGTCAGAGATGTAGGAAGTAGGTGTGTGGTTTCAAAGAAAAATACAGCACCTGAAACAACCTTTGGTCTGGTTTTGAAGTACAGCAGCTTGCATGCTATACTTCATGCTGTATGCTGTACATACAATATATGCCCTTTTGTTTTTATTATTATTTGTATTTGTTAGCTTTTTAACTCGGCAATCTCTATAATTCTATGTGTGCAAATTCTGGGAAACCGTACATGCTTTTCTGAGTAGGCATGTATTTGCATTTGCTTGACATTTAACCCTTGTTGCAGCAAACTCATAGTAGCCTAATGTTTATGTTGGACTTTTTTTTCCTGAAATATAACATATATTATTCTGTTTTTTTTTTTTGGTGACAAGACAAAAAAGTGTTCTTTTTGTAAAAATGTATCTTGGCTTCTATATTCACTTTATTTTGATGCTATGTTTATAATGTAAGTAATGGTTTTTGTATTGTTTTGTATCTTTTTTACAATAGGAAGTATAAAATTAAATGATCTAAATAGATACAGCTGATCTACAGTACTGAATTTGTACATCCTGTAATGTCAAAAACCCATTAACACATTAACTACACAGCGAACAGTTGATCTAATGTCACCCTGAGCTGTTAACCACTAGCAGACCCAAAGTGGGCTTGATCACATTTTCTTTCATCTTGAACTTTTAGTTTAGACGCCGACTGAAGTGACATAACTTAAGGACGACGTGAGCAGTTTCACATCACTTTTACTCCAGCCACAAAACACGTGTAGCTTTTTGACCTATATGTATAACATCAGTGGAGTTACATATACTCCTTAGCGAACAGCCTAAGAGAAGTAAATAATGTAACCGTGTCATTATTTTTGATTGAAGCCATGCCGTTTCTATTCATCTGCATCAAATGTTCCGACGGCACCATTCATAAAGTTTATCAGTTGGAAGGCTCTGTTACAGAACATGCTGCTTTCACCCACAAAGTAGGTGGCACTTCTGTGCTCTACTTGTGAAGGGGAATCCTGATTTCTACAGTATCACTGCCGCCCTTTGTGGCTATATAGTGTGACGGTACTAGTAGCTACTGTCTACTGCGTAGTGAGCACGCATATGCTAACGTCACATCCTGAAGGTTTCGTACATTGAACCATGTGGTTTGGTCTGTCTGTCAATGACGGAAGTAAATGTCTGTAGTTTCTTTTTTTTATGATAGGAGGGCACACGTCATGTGGTTTAAGTAGGTGGCAGTTTTGCACAGGGGTGTCAGATATTAACCCTCTGATGCATGAATTATGAAAGCCTTCCCAAGATTTTTTTTTTCTTAAGTGCTTTTATTCTTCTAAGGACATGAAAAAAAATGTTCAACTCTTTTTTTCCAAAAATATGTTTTTTATTTTATAAAGTTATAGACTTGTCCACTCCAGTGACCAATATGCATCAGAGGGTTAATTAATTACTTCTTATGACTAAATTTGATCATTTCTGATGTACTCCCATAGCTTCTGCAAATATGGTCCGTTAAAACTTTAGTCAGGAAAAAATTATTAAATTGATAGTCAGCGTGTTTACAAGGCCAGCTGAGAGAGACAGCCACGTCTCTGGACTGGGGTGGGGAAGCTAGAGTGTCAGGAGAAAACCCATTCAGGTGCTTTTTCTAAACCACAGTAACTACTGCAGCAACATGATGCCTAATGTTAAACAAAGGGGAAAAAAATCCTCCGATTAGAGAAAGCCACATGTATGGCGCTTTGGCTTATTAATTACAATAAATGAAGTGGCTCATTTAACAAAATTTAAGCACCTTCTTGATTTGCCAGGAAACTCCCCGTCAACAAAAGCAACCTAAAGTACTGTCACTAAAAGGTCACAGAACGACAGTAAAACCTTCACATCATCATCCATTTGCACTGTGTGCTCCTGCAACATATACATGTAGGCTACAAATAACCCTGCAAAAAATCACACGCTTGTTTTTCCGTACATACCATGTACATCTTTAGTCATCCCTTACTTTTTTGAGTTCACTGAGGTCACCTTTGGGTTTCAGCAGGGATTATCATACTCACTCATTGTGGGCTGTGGGATTTCCAGGCACAAAACTATAAAATATTGTTATTGCTTCTGTTAGTTGCTTTGTATTATATATACAATTTAAGTTAGTACACTTGTAAGAACATGTTGAACAATTCTAGAGGATCAGAAAAGTAAAAAATAGTTTTTTCCCGCCAAAATTTCCATATCATTACAGCGGTCCCTCGTTTATCACGGGAGTTACGTTCTAAAAATAACTCGCGATAGGTAAAATCCGCAAAGTAGCCAGCTTTATTTTTTTTTTACAATTATTATAGATGTTTTAAGGCTGTTTAACCCCTCACTACACACCTTATACACTTTTCTCAGACAGGCATGAACATTTTCACACTTTTCTCTATTGTTTAAACACTCTCAAAGTTCAAACCTTTGTAGAAAAATCAGTCCAGTATTATAGAATGAAACCAAAGATCAAACCCTGTTTTCAGGTCCAAAACATGGGAATAGAGCAGCTGCGAGATAATTCTACATTAATGAATCAATGGTACAGAAGTGGAGGAAGCAAGAAGAATGAGTTGAGTAAAGTTTGACTTATCTGACTGTTTTGTTTCGCTTAATGCGCCTTATAATCTGTAAAATACAGTAACTTCTACCTTCTTTTGGCATGTCCAGAAGTCCAACTTTCTGTGCGATGGTTAGCATCTTCCTCTGCCTTTTGGGTGCTACCGCAGGTGCCTTTGACGGTGCAAAACGTTTCATCGACATTGTGTTTGTTGGGGAGAAAACTTAGAAACATATAGTACAGCACATCAGAGTCACACTGCTAGCGATCGACGATTTATGTAAATTTGACAAGCTGAACGCATTCTGTACTGTACAGGAGACGTGGCACAGAGGATACTGATTGAAAATGGTCTACAGCCAATCAGGACACAGAACACAATGCACTGTAAAAAAAAAAAAACGTGCAAAATTGCACAAAAAATCCATTAAACAGCAAGGCTGCGAAAGGTGAACCGCATTATAGCGAGGGAGCACTGTATATACATTTTTCATCTGCTCCAACAATTATATGTAATGTGTGATCTTTTTCAAAAGTACGTATAAGTGAACATAAATGCAGAAATAAAAATGCAAACAGATACACATTACTTGCAAAGCGGAGAGTGCAAAGTTCATGTAAGAAAATGTAAAATTTACATATTTTGATAGTTAGACTCCAGTGAGAAGCAATATTACAGGGCAGAATCTGAGAAAAAGGGAGAAAATAGTGACTACAGCACCAGGCATATAAATACAGGTGAAGATGAGTGAGCAGATGGTTGTAGAATTTGCATAAGACCTTTGCAGATGACCTTGAATGACAGACAGCCTGAAGGAGGGGGAGTGACGCAAATTTAAAAAAAAAAACAGAGAAAAGAGGCTGAGTGACTCATAGAAGACAGACAAGTAGGTGCTTGGACAACAAAAGAGTTTTGAATAACATACACTACCGGTCAAATCTTTTAGAACACCCCAATTTTTCCAGTTATTTAATGCAATTCAAGTGATTCAAGTCCAATGATTAGCTTGAAATGATAAAAAAAAAGGTAAGTGATGAACTGGCAGAGATAAGAAAAAAGAGTGAGGTTACCCAAAACTGAAAAACAATGTGCATTTCAGAATTATACAAAAAGGCCTTTTTGTGTTTTCAGGGAACACAAAATGGGTTAACTGCTGTTCTGCAGCAATGGAGGTTGATCAAGCCTTGAAAGCTGGTGCTACTAATTCCTACAGGTGTTCCAAATGCATGATAGCAGTGTTGGAACACAATGTGGTACCATACCCTCATGAGCATCAGCAGAACAGTATTGTACTGCAGAAAGTAGTGTGTTGTTACAAAAATGGCGAGAAAAAGGCAATTAACAATAGAAGAGAGACAGACCGTCATGACACTTTAAGTGTCAGTGAGTACTGTTTCCTTTACTAAAAAAAGGCACTCAGAAATTGGGCCAAACTCTGACAGGAAGAGGTCTAGCAGACCCCAAACCACAACTGAATCAGAGAACAAGCTTCTGAGAGTTACTGATAGGCAGCTCACACGATAACAGCCTCAAGCACGGATTAATATTGGTCGCAGTCAGAGATGTGTATGTGTTACTGCAATCCGATTACTTTTTCCAAGTAACGAGTAAAGTAAGGGATTACTATTGCAAAAAAGTAATTCGATTACTGTTACTTTCCTGTAAGCACACTGCATGACTGCGTTACTAAACTGTGATTTTGTTTGTGAGAGCGTCTCATGACAATGATGCATGAGCGTGCGACGTCCGTGGTAGCACCAGACGTATGTAGAGCAACTATAATATGGAGTGCGGGAAAGAGTACGACCATGCGGCGTTTAAAGCTTGGAAGTACTGACATTACTTTGTGTTTGATTCTGTAAAAGGCGACAAAAACATTAGCGTCTACTGTAGACTCAGCGTGGGAACAAACTTTTTTCTACTTTGAAAACTTCAAATCTGAGACAGTACCTATCACGCTGGCATGGGAATGTGAAATTCACAGAGAAACCCCTGTATCCCCCACTGACATTACCACTGTGGCACAGGGCAAACCTCCACCCGTCCCACTCCTGCTAGACAGGTGAAAAAAGATTTAAGAACAACAGGACTTGGTAGAAAATAGGTTTAAATGTTAAACAAATTTTTTCCAGTCAGAGAATGTTGCATATACTTTTAAAAAGTAATTAAGTAAGAAAGTAACGAAATACTTTTGAAAATAAGTGATCAGTAAAGTAACGGGATTACTTTTTTGGAGAAGTAATCAGTAAGTAGTTTCTAATAACTATTTTCAAGTAACTTGACCAAAACTGGTTGTAGTAAGCAAGTCTCAGTTTCAACTGTGAAGACTTCGAGCTGCAGGTTTGACAGGATGAGTTGCAACAAGAAAGCGTCAGAATAAGACAAAAAGAGGCTTGACTGGGCCATGAAACGCCACCATTGGACTGCTGAAGATGGGAAGAAGGTATCATGGACTAATGAATCAAAATTTGAAATCTTCAGTTCATCAAGCAGGATCTTTGTATGCCGTCAAGTAGGTGAAAGGATGGTTGCACAGTGTGTAGCATCAACTGTCAAAGATGGACGAGGAAGTGTGATGGCCTGTGGCTGTTTTGCTGGATACTGGGTTGGTGACTTGTACAGAGTGAGAGGCACCCTGAACCAAAACTGGAAACATTGGGGCATTCTAAAAATGTTGACAGGTAATGTATATTTGAAGTTTAAATCGTTAAATTCAATAACCATTGTGCTGGAATGACCAGTTAAAGCTGGGTTAAAGTGGAAGATATGAAGTGCAGATCACTTAAGTCAGCGGTCCCCAACCCCCGGGCCTCG